AAGATGGTCATAAGCCATGTTGAGGTGTTGATGCGGATAGATCTATCATGTGTTTCTTATGGCTGTGCTGATCCCTGTGTGACACAGCTCTGGCAAAGCGTTATGTAAAGTATGAAAGCACAGTCAACCTTCCTCTCCCTGATGCGATTGTGCCATTTGAGAGGCAATCAACGGTCGTGCCAGCTAGTGCAAGCACACGCGACACCAAGGAGAGAAAGAGGCAGAGAACACAAACCCACATGGAGGGCAAAATGCAGGCAGTATCGGCAACTGCGAGGAAAGAGAAGCTTTCGCGGATGCAGTGGTCTGCCAGTCGATGAAGACAGTGAAAAGAAAGCAGGGAAAAAGACAAAGACAGCAACAGCGGCAAAAGAATCTTGAAGATGGAGAGAAGAGCCAGAGGGAGGAGCAAGGCACGCAAATAGAGGGATTTGAAGTGCTTGAAGACAAAGATGATGGTACTGTGGCTGGGCAGCAGTTCTCTAGAAAGAAGAGAGGGAAGGAGAGGACAACTGGAAAGGAGGAAGGAACCCCAAAGGAGGGGGGAGTTGATGCCAGAGTCAAGCTAAGTTATTCCATGTTGATGAAGAAAAAGCGTGCCGAGCCGTTTCAGTCTAAGAGGTCTTCTTACTTTGCTAGTGGAAGCCAGAGTTCTGCACATGGAGTTGATGTGAACAATGGGATACCTCCCTCTTCAAGTGACCATATCGATGCTCTGGCTATGAACAGCAAAAGGACTTGTCAGAGGCGATTTGTCATCGACGATGATGATGAAGGTGCGGGTGAATGATTAGCCCTGCGGCTGCTGATGCTGCAGTTGTGATTATTGTTGTAGCTGCTAGTGTCTCTTTTGCTGATACCGTTGCCGCATACTTGCGTGATGTTATATTTGCTAGAATTGACTGATGTTCTTGTTACGAATCCATTATATGATGCTGTTTTTTTTGTCAAATTTTGTGTTTCCCATTTTATCTTTACTTCTGGGGAGAGAAAGAACTATCTCCGAATCTCGCCCTTTCTTGCTGCATTCTATTTTTGAAGAATGTCATGGATAACCATCCACATTGGTCAAGGTCTATAACTTCTATAGTAAATTTTAAGTTTGTAGTACTCTGTACCAATGAATGAACTTGTACGCGATCATAATAGGGGCTCCTGCTTGAGGTGTTTGATATTCTCCCCAGCAGCCAGCTTATCCTCATCTTTTTCTTCTTGTGCTATTATTGCTACTAGCTCTCCCTCATCATCGTCTATTCCCAACTTTGCAACCGTGTACTTCCTGGCCACGCCCGCTTCTTATTCTCCATTTGACACCTGAGAATATGCCAATTGAAGATGGTTGCCAGCTGCATCATCAAAGTGGCAGTTCCACTCACTCTTATACTTCTCCTCGACTCCTCTAATCTTATATTTGGGGCTTTTTTCTTTCTGTACCCCAGACTATCTTCCTGTTTCTTCCACTAATTAGCTGCAAAGTGGCAGTTCCACTGACTCCTTTGCTTCTCCTCAACTCCTCTAATCTTATATTTGGGGCTTTCTTCTTTCTGTACCCCAGACTACCTTCCTGTTTCTTCCACTAATTATTCATGCTGACCAACTCAGGACACTCTCCTGTTTAATATTGTCTGTGACAAGGGAGACTTCTCACCCCTCCCCCCAATCCTCCCTATTTATTCCCAGATGCTCATGCTCCTGAGCCACACCCACAGTCCATTCATGTGAAATGTCTTATGCTTTGTGCTGCACGAACTTACTGTCACGCACGCCCGTTTCCAATCTTTTACGTTGTTCCTTGCAGTCTTTGCAGATATAGGGGTCTTTCCCCACTACTCGCGCACCAAATGGAATAACTGAGTACTTTGAGGTTTGTCAGATTCTCAGAAAACTCAAATTGCCTGCCCTCGCTACACTCACGTTACTACATTCTGCCGAGTGCTTGGCAGCAGATGGAAGCAGATGACAAAAATATATGGAGTGACTCTTCCAGGTGAGTTTTCAGGGACAGAGCGACTTCCCTCCATTTTTCTGTGGTTACAGGGGGCGGACTCTCCAATTTTGGAGAGCGCTCTTGACAAGTTGTGACAACTCTCAATTTTTTTTCCCCAGCCTCTTTTTGGCCGAGTAAGTGGAGCGACGTCTTACTCTTGAAAAGTGCAACTTCAAGAGTATTGGAGCAAGACCCTATGGGCCTCGCACCACTACTCACCAAATGTGCAAAATGAGAATGAATCCTCCACTAGAACATGGGAAGAAACACCGCCATATTTTTTATCTTTTGTGGATGTGGTGAGTAGTGGAGCGAGACTCTATATCTTGATTTGTATGACTGTTGTGCAAGGAAGATGAGCAATAGCGAACTTCAGAAATCAAACAGCATCGTACACATGAGACCGGATAGTCGTGACCTCGAACGAATAGCAGAATTGCATCACGAGTTTCACCAAATAAGAACACACCAAATGCTCATAATTGACAATGCTGGAATAGTCTCATCATCATCAACGAAGAACSAATGTTGATATCCTATCTGGCGCTCGGCGCCCAGACTACGAATGGCAGATCCTATCTAGCCTAGACTACAATGCTGCTGATGACGTCAACAGCTTCCCAAGTACGAGCAGATCTCGGCCAATGCCGCACGCCTCAAGCACCAGGTATGTCTCTCGTATCACTCACAACCTCATTCCCCAACTCACAGATGCCACTTGCACCCAAGGACCAGCATGCGCCCCATCCAACATACAACAGTGCAGCTCGGCTATGGCTGCCTGCTCCTTCCAGCTCGCCCGTGAGTGCGTGAGCCTGGCCAGCGTTATCGCAGCAGCGCTTGCGCAGCATGCAGCCAGTGCCCGAATGTCCAATGCGTAGGCAGGCCCTTCTCTTTATCGAAGTGGCCTGCTGTTGCGTGCGGTAGTGCGGTACTGGGCCCTGGCCCAGAAGCTTCCAGTAGGGCCCACGAGGCTGAGCCTCAGTTCGAAGTAAACAGGCCCAGGGCCTGTGGTGGTTTCCGGCACCCAACTGCCCTCAGCCTTTGTTCGGTCCTTTTTGTGTATCCGGCCCAGGGCCTGCCTCAGTTACATGCGATGAAAGGCAGCCTGGGCCTGGGCGCTTCCAACCAAACTGGCGCTGTGCAACTGCCAGAATTTGCACAGTTGCGTGGTGACCCCAAAATGGCCTGTGGGCCTCAGTCGTGCCTGCCTTCACTTAGGGCGGCCGACCGGACTGCGTGAAAAATAGGCCCTGTAGGGCATATCGAGGCCCTGTCCCTCACATTCCCTCCTCCATACTTCGATAGTCCTCTGAGAAGTTCAGTCTTCGATAATCTGGCGTTTTCCCTTCTGCAGAGTTTTCTCGTAGTGAGCGACAACCTGTGGAGCGGTCTGCATCAGTTCCTCCGGTGTGAACCATCTATCCTCCTTTGGATCAGTGTGATGTCTGAACCGAACTCGGTACTGCATCTTCGGTTTTGGAGGACGTCATCTGCCTGTCGGTCTTGGAACTGGCATCTCCCTGTGATCAACGATATCATCGATGTCGACCTCTCTGTCCATGGTTGGGGGCAGCATAGAGCGACGAGAGAGGGAAACTGGTCAGTTTCCTTGAATGATGCAAGTTTGGAGGCGTGAAAGACAGTGTAAGTGCGGAGATGACCAGGGATCCGGATAACAGACGATGGCCCATCCGGATCTTCCCCAACAACATCCAGAACCTCTACCTGAAATGTAGAAGGGCGGCGGTGTTTGTTCTCAGACTCTATCATTGCCACCTGTGCCTTATGCATTTGTTCTACTGCCTGCTGCATCAATTGTTCATAGCGATAGGCAAACTCAAGTGTGCCCGGTGCAGCAGTTGACTGATTGTCAGGTAGCAGAAAGTCTAGGGGCAGTCTAGGCTTGAAAGTCAGTAGCAGACTGTTAGGACTTACTCCACTGGCGCTGTGCACAGCGTTGTTGTACAGGCTGGCGATGAGAGCAAGTTTCTCATCCCAGTCCATCTGATTGGGCTTAATGTAATATCGTAACAGGTGTTGTACAGCGCGGTTCATCTGCTCTGCTTGGCCATTGGCCTCTGGATGGTTCCCTGAAGTCATCTGCAGCTGTGTTCCCTGTTCTGCAACTGCATCTAACAAATCACTAGTAAATCTGACATCCCTGTCACTCACGATAGACTTCGGAAGCCCAAAGTCTCTGACCCAGTTTTCTTTGAACAGCTTGATCACATACTCGGTCTTAGCTGTAGCAGGCATTGCAACTAACCTAGCGAACTTACTAAATCTATCCACGATGACGTAGATATACCTCATGCCACTCTTGCTGGTGACTAACGTATCCATGAAATCCATGGACAGGCTTTCACCAGGCCTTTCCATGAAAACTCAACATTGGGATTGAGCCACTCTTGCAAAGGTGTATCCTTGCGACTTGAAGGTTTGCCAGAAGGCTCAGAACCATAGCTACGCTGGACCGAACCCCGGACTGATTTCGGACTCTGGACCCAGGACCTCCTGGGCCCATCCAGACTTTCGGAAAACCGGAATATTTTGGAATTTCCGGACCGGTGCGAACCCCTAGTCCGGATCCCCTATATTGTCCGGAAAAAAAAAAAAAAAGAACGCCTCTACTCCTCCTACTTCTCAGTTAAAGCATGTCATCCATGTGCAGGGGCCATGCTAATCTTCTCCTTCCAATGTTAATGAATGTCCCAAGGGCAAGATTAGCATGGCCCCTGCGCGAAGATGACACGCATTAATGGGGAAGTGGACCAAATAAAAAATAAATAACCCAAAAAGGAGGAGGAGGAGGAGGCGGAGGAGACGAGGAGGAGGAAGACAAGAAGAGAGGAGGAGGACGACAGAGGAGCGCAGGAAAAAAAATTGGGCCCACGTATTCCTTATTGAATAGTCGTTTTCCCGAAGGACCCCAGTAGTGCATCTCAAGAGACGTTCAGCAAATTTCATGTGAGAGTGGAGCAGGCCAGGAATTTATGTTCTGGATCCGAAGTCATGTCTGCTTTCCAGCAGTTATGGGTCACAAATTACAACTACTTGCTACCGTAGCTCTCTCTTTTCTTTTGTTTCATTTTCCTACGAGCAGCAGCCCTAAGGGCCTTGCTCCACTCGTCACTACTTGCACAAAATACAAAACATATGGCGGCGTATGGTTCCATGTTCTCGCAGAAGATTCATTCCTCTCTTTCTTTTGTTTCGTTTTCCTACGAGCAGTGGCCCTAAGGGCCTTGCTCCACTCGTCACTACTTGCACAAAAGACAAAACATATGGCGGCGTATGGTTCCATGTTCTAGCAGAAGATTCATTCTAGTTTTGCACATGTGGTGAGTAGTGGAGGGAAGCCCTGAAAAGCACGTAGTGAGTGAGTTGGCCTGCTACTGCCCAGAAACTAGTGTGCTCAGTGGTCCCATAACTGCTGAAACACGGACCTTAATGTGAATCCACAGCATATATACTTGGCGTGCCATGACCCTAGCATGGCTATGAGCATTACTTAGTTCATGGTGAGAAGGCCCTTGTTAAGTATCTGCAGGGGCCTCTCGGGTAACCCGTAGGGGGTTTCTAATAAATTATAAGGAGCTATTTGTTTGCTCTCTCTCTCTCTCTCTCTCTCTCTCTCTCTCTCTCTCTCTCTCTCTCTCTCTCTCATGTTGTCACACATAACAGCGACTTGTTTTTTCTTTTTTTTTTTTGCGCATCGGTGACCACCGCACTGCTCCTGGTGCACCGCACGCTTGCGCCGCAGGTAGGAAACAAAACCAAAGTTACCAAACCCCTTGGTAGACTTTCCAGGCCTTCTGGTTCGTTAGCGAGGGGGATAAAAAATCAGGCACCATTTTTTTGGGGCGGCCCAGGGCGTGAACAAACGCCCTGGACCACCCAAAAAATTTTTGCCCGTTGGCTCCGACGAATAAGATCGCCAGATATGGAAACACATGGTGATCTCTGGTTAAAGAGGACCCAACAACGCTCTGAGTACTTGTCATTGTTTGCGTTCAGAATTGCCCCCTTGCCTAGCTACGCACACTCCGAGGGATTTCTCACCTACTGATCGGACTATGACACATGGGACACTAGGAGTTGAAATGGGACCGTGACTGGGATTCTAAGATGCATTAAATCCTTTCAAACACTTCGGCCAAAGCTATTTTACATGGAGGCTGGACATCATGAACTTTCCTCAAGACTGGCAGCTTCAAGAAGAAACTGTAGCACCAGCCCGCATGTCGGATACCGTAATGGTACAGACCAGGTCAAGAACCGACCTCTCTCACATAGTATAGGATAGCGCAGCGGAAGGCTAAAATACCAATGATCAGACCAATCAATGTTGCAATGCAGACCAAACATACATCATCATCATCGCATGGTGTGAAGGGGCCCGACGCTTACATAGGAGGAATGCGTTGGTCCCAAACATACACAGACGAGGAGGGGGGGGATCAAACGAAGAGGAGAGGAAGATGGGAATGTCATCAACACCAAGTCTTCGGTACAGGTCCCAAATAATCCCTCGTCCAATATCTTAATCCCAATGTCGAGTTTGAATCCAAATGTCGTCAAGTCCCAAAGTCACCACTCTCTCTCTCTCTCGTAGTTTGCAGATACTGAGAAGTCAGGTGGCGAGAGGGTGAGGGAGAGATGGTGGACTAAGAGGAGGATGAAGAAGAACTCTCTCTCTTTCTTTTTTGTGCCAAGTACTAACCTGTGAAGGTGGTGCCTTGTTGCAGGTACATCGAAGACGAAGCTGGAGCTATGGCGCCACAGGTAAGTCTCCCTGGCCTCCGCCCTCTCTCTCTCTCTCCCAACGCTACTCTAAGCTCCTAATAGCGCCCAACGTTGAAGACTACTCCTAGCGCTAGCTACTACTACTGCAGCGCTGCTGCAGAGTGCTGCGGCCAAATCCTGAAGACTGCCTCCTGCACGTTAAGTGCCCGTGAATTGCCTGGGAAGTCCCCTAGGAGCTACCTGCAGCCTGCAGGGCGGACCAGTACTATATAGTGCTGGCCCGTCCGGGAGGCTGCACTTGCCAATGCCGAAACGTGCCAGACCCTGGCGTTGAAGTTCAAACAAAGGTTGTCTTGAAATAGGCTCAAAAAATGGCCTGCGCTAAACCCTGGTCTGGCGCCTAAGTTTCAGGGCAGGTCGACTTAATGAGGGCTTGAAAATGGCCCTCTTTTCGAGGTTTTTAGGCTGAAACGACAGAGGGTTTGGAGGGCCCTTATTTCCCATCTGGTCGGGTCCTGCAGGCCCATGTGGATGCGCAGTATGCCACACCCCCCCCTTCTGAAAGACCGAGCTTACCTGCGACGGCGAAGCTGCCTGTCGGAGGGAGGGACCAATGTTCGGGTGGGAGGGGCCGGTCGTGAAGCTTCCTTAGCTAACCTTTGTCGTTCGTAGTGAGAGTTGATCAGCAGTGCGGATGCTTGCAAATCTGCTCCTGAAATCCATCGAGTGTTGTCAGGATTGCATGCTTTGAAGGTAACTTTGTACTGTCGAGGCTTGTTGCCATACTTGCGATCCGTGATGACGCACTCGACTTCCTGATGGCCATCCATAGACGGAGGGTCTTGCAATCGTCGGCCCGAGAAGTCGTCGCTCTTAGTTGGTGTGTATGTCGCCACCTTTGAGGCGTGAAAGATTGGATAGACCGACAGATGCGGAGGGATGTCTATCACAAAGGATGGCCCGTCGGGCTCGTCGCCTGCGGCTGAAAGGACGGTCCATGGTCCAAACCACTTGGGGAGTAGTTTGCGAGAAACATCCTGTTCGAGCGCAAACTCTACCGCGAAGACCCAAGCCAGATCACTGGCGCGGATGGGACATGGCACGCGACGTCTGTTGGCTTGCTGCTGCATGCGGACTTGAGCCTTTTGAATATTCGCGCGGGCTTGAGCCAGCAATTCCCTGTACTTCCAGGCGGAGGCGGGAGAGCAAGCGGCTTCTATGTTGGCAGTTCGTGGAAGGAGAAGATCAGCGAAGATACACCCTTTCCAGCCACCGTGGTGCAACTCGAATGGAGTCACGCCGATCGCCAGGTGCAACGAAGTGTTGTAGGCGAACTCGATGTCGGGGAGGCGGTCAACCCAATCCTTCTGATCCGGACAGATGAGCGTACGAAGCATCATCTGAGCAGTCTGATGTGCTCTCTCCGTTTGCCAGTCCGTTTGTGGATGTCTAGCCGAACTTGGTTTCATCTTGGTGTTAGATTCCTGCATGAGAGGAGTCCAGAATGCCGACATGAAACGAGTGTTGCGGTCATTAATGATGTCTTCCGGTACGCCATGGCTGCAAATCCAGCCGGTGCGCAAAAGGCGCACAAGTTCGGGAGTCGTGGCGTAGTACTTGCAAGGGAGAAATCGCGCGTATTTACTCAATCGGTCAACGACCGTGAGGATGCCGTCGTGCCCGAAGTGGTTGCGGGGAAACAAGCTGCTGATGTCCATGGCAATGGAGAGGCCTGGTTCTCGTGGGATAGACAACGGGCGCAACTCGCCGTAGGGATTGCGGTTGCGGGGCTTGCTTCGCCGACAAACTTCGCAAGAGTCGCAATACCGAGTGACATCGGTAATGAGGTCGGGCTACCGAAATCGTTGCCAAAGTCGTGCAATAGTCCGATTGACTCCGAAATGGTCGACGAGTCGCGAGTCATGGTACTCGCCGAGAAGGCGAGTCCGAAGACGACGGTCTCGTGGGTCGCAGAGCAAGTCCTTGCCTCGCGAGTGGAGAAGCAAGTACTCGTCGACGATGCAATAATTGCTGGCCGGCATGTGATCCAAAGATAGCTGTGCATATAGCGTGGCGAAATCCGGATCAGACTCATAGCCCCAAATGAAGTGCCGCTGGAGTTCCTCGTCGAAGGCGAAGGCATGATGTGTCATAGCGCAAAGATCGGGTCTTCGTGAGAGTGCATCTGCTGCGTGATTGGAGAGGCCGGCGAGATGTTTCGGTGTGAAGTTGAATTGGTCGATGAAATACATCCATCGTCCGATAGTGTTGCTCACCGTATCCTGCATCTTGTAGTAGGTCAATGGGTTGTTATCAGTGACCTATGTGAACCTACGGCGCCCAAGGAGGAAGTGTCGCCATCGCTTGAGAGCCATGACAAACGCGAGCAGCTCCTTCTTCCTTGCATCAAGTGAATTGATGGGAGGCACCTTGTGGCTGAAATACTCCACGGGGTGTCAGTCGTCGCCGTCGTGTTGTTCCAAGACTGCCCCAACGCCATTGCCGGAAGCCTCAGTTGTCACTCTCATTGGCAACATGGGGTCGTAGATGCTAAGGACGGTTGCCATGAGCATGGTCGTCTTGAGTGCTTGGAATGACCGGCGCGCTTCGTCGCTGAATACGAATGACACCTTTGGCGATTGTAGTCTCGTCAATGGTGCAGCGATCCTTGAGTACCCGGTGATGCGGCGATCATTGAGTACCCGGTGATGAAGCGTTGGTAGTAGCCCGCCAACCCCATGAATGAGCGAACTTCCATGGTGTTGGTGGGCTCGGGCCATACTCGGATGGCCTCGATCTTGTCCGCGAGCGGACGGATGCCTTGCGGCGTCACAAAATGGCCCAAGTACTCGAGCTCTTGCCGTGCGAATTCACATTGTCACGGTTGGCTTTGTACTTGGCTTGTCGTAGTCGCTCCAAAACGGTGTGCAGGTGCTCCACATGCTCGTCCAAACTCCGGCTGTACACCAAGATATCATCGAGGTAGGTGAGTATGAATCTGTCCACCATGTGTCGGAACTCTGAAGGGGGCAGTGCGAAATGGTCGGTACAAACGGAAAAAAA